GCTCGAAACCCGGGCATGTGCCCTGACCGGGAATCAACCATGACCTCCTGGTTCATAGGTCGACGCTCAACCACTGAGCCACGCCGGCCGGGCATGCGTTTGCCTTTTTTAAGGAAAAGGGGAGCATAGGGGACACTCAGCCTTCTGTGCGAGCAGATGGAAACGCTGCTCTGCTCTCCTCTTCTTTTTATCCCCGAAGCCTCGTCAGCCTGTGTGAGAGCATGAATGTCAGCAAGACTGTCTGGTCAGGGCAAGGACTCACGACTCTGCAATGGAGAGCCTTTAGCCAAACCGAGTTGACCTCTGGGGTCAAGCTTTGTAAGCTGCTGGCCAGGGGGTTGGCGCTCAGGTTTTATTTGTTTTTCTTAAGTGGCTGCTGGCCCTGGCTGCGAGGGCCGGGCCGATGGTGGCACCGCCAGCGTCTACGCCAGCCTGGGCCGGGCCTGCCTTCCCTCCCCCGCCCCCAGCATGGTCACGCCTTCTCCATGTTCCTGGAGGGCCCTGTGCAGCTCCCTGGATGCATGTTTACATGGGCACCAGGGTCCTTATCCCGGGACCCGGTCCCTGTGGTGCCTCACATGTAGCTCGCTTCTTAACCCGTGTTGAGCATGTCGTCTTGTAAAAGACTCTCCTGTTGGTGGGAGTGCGAGTACAGTGGCCATTGAGGAAATCGCTCTCCAGCGTGTGATACCCTGTGACCCAGACATCCCACTGGCAATGTTCTGTCCCACTGGCATATGCGAGCAGAAGACAATAGTGTGCCCTTCTCACGGGAGTGTTTTCACCATGGAAACTCGAAGCGGTGGAAGGCACCCTCCAGGAAGAGTGTTTGCAGAGGTTGTGACACGTGTGTGGGGCGGAACGTAGCTATTTAGTGGAAGGAGTTCTGTGATGTGTTGTTGAGAACTTTCAGTGTGATACCACTTTTGTTTAAGCAGAGTAGAGATAGACATGTTTGTATATACACTAGAGGCCCGGTGCACGAAATTCGAGCACGGGTAGGGTCCCTAGGCCTGGCCGGCGATCAGGGACGATCGGGGCCTCCAGCTACCGGCTGGGGCCTTCCTTCCCCAGCTGCTGGCTGCCGGCCGGGGCCTTCCTTCGTTCCGCGCCGCCCCCTGGTGGTCAGTGCACGTCATAGCGATAGAACTCCCGGTCTCCCCATCAAACTCCCGAGGGGACACTTTGCATATTAGCCTTTTATATAGAGAGACTAGAGGCCCGATGCACGAAATTTGTGCAAGGGGCTCAGTCCCTGCTGCTGCCGCGGCTGCCTTGGCCCCCGCCCTCCGTGGATTCATCCAGAAGGTTGTCTGGAAGGACATCTGGTCTAATTAGCATATTACGTTTTTATTATTATAGATTATTATTATAGATAGATACGTATACACACATGAATACAGGGTGAGGCAAGAGGAGGGTTACACTGTGAGGACATGAGACAGTTTACCCTGTATCCTTGCTCATTAGCATGTGCCATATGAATAACTGTAAACCTACTTCACCCCACCCTGTATACACATGTATGATATATAGCTGGTGTACACATACATGTGATATGTACACATACGGAATACTACAGAGTGTAAAAGGTCGGGAGAGATGTGCACAGAATATTAGCAGCGCTGAGCCCTGAGGGGTGGAATTTGGAAGGTGTTGGTGGGGAGGGGAGCACTTCCATTTTTAAATTGTATGCACTAAGAAAAATAAGAAACAATCCACTTAAAATCTGAGAAAAAGATGAAACAAAATAAAAAACCTGAAAAGGGCTGTCTTTGCTGTGGGAAATGGTTCTGTCAGAGGTCTGTGCGGATGCGCCTCCAGCACGGACCACGCTCTGCAGTCAGACCCGCTCTCCGCGCATCCAAGACTGAGCCCCGGGGCCTCTCGCAGGCCTGCGGACCTGGTGGGTGAGACCAGGCGCTGGTGTCAGGGCAGGGGGCTGGCTGTGAGTGCCCAGCGGTCCCTCGGGGGTGGGGCGGGCACCCCTGTGCCCTGTGCAGCCCCTGTGTCGCTAGCTCTGGGGACAAGGACGAGCGGCGCGTGTGAGAGCGGTTTCCTGTTCTGAGAAGAGGCCACCACACTTACTCTGGTTTTCTACGCTCACATTAAATCTACTTCTGACCTCCAAGGCAACAATTACTATTTTATAAATTCATTAGTTGTACTGAGTAGCATTTTTAAAATAGCAATGTCCCTCAGCTACTCTGGTGCTTGGAAAAATAATGGAAGCGACTGTGTCAACATATTTTAAAAACGTCCTGTGCAAATCCCGTTATCGGCTCTGACCGCGTTTTAAT